TTTTTTAATTATGAAAAGAGATGTAATTATTGTAATTCGTTTGATTTTATACAATTTCAATACATATTATATTTAAATATATAATTATGGCGAATATCAAAATATTTCTTTTCAAATAAACTCGGTTAAATACAAAAAAGTCCATCATTATAAAAAAAGGACGAAGAAATTTTTTTGGCAAGTTCCTGTTAAGTTGAAATATGAATTATAAAAAAAAAAAGTATGCAATATGCAAAGTCATTCATAAAAACAACATTCAAATGTCCTCCAAAAACATTTAAACCAAATCCTTGAGCAAGAAATTAAAAAGGATCAGGGATATAAAGCATAATCAACAATATATCTTTACAACGGAATCAGCACCCCCACTTGCTATCCAAGGTAAGGATGAATGATATTGGACGCACAGTACTCCTTCATCCGATTTCGATCGATGCAATGCAAATTCTTGAATACATTGCCTTGTCGAGACGATATCCCACAAACGAATGGAACTGTCATGACCTTTGATAATTATAGATCATGTCATTAGCACGAAGAGAGAAATTGTAGAAACGAAATATGCATTTCTTGAAAATTTTTATACCTCCTGAAATTAATACCATTCCTGACGGATCGACATCAAGTGAAGTGACTGAATCCAAATGGGCGATCATAGAAAAACTACAGTTACCTAGTAATATATTTAAACTTACTAAGAAAACAAAAAAAGTATTTTTTTTAAAAACAAATCAATAATTCGCATAAAAATCATACCACTGTTGACATCAAAGATTCGTATATATTTGTCTTCGTGTGCTGAAAACAACAATGGAAGAGTGGGATGGGAAATTATACGATTAATCTGCGTGGCAGAAGAATTGTCGTATGTCTCATCGCTTTTAAATGCCAAAACCTCTTGTCCTGTTTCAATATCAAAGAGTTTTATGATAGAATTTTGAAAAGATACGGCTATCTTCTTCAAGTCATTATGAACGAAAGCGACAGATGTCGGAACGGGCGGACGACCTATCAAGAAATTCATTTGTTACAAAGAAATATTAAGTGACTAGAAAAAGAAATATGTCACATTTTGTACCTCCGCCGTTAACAATCTCCCCACCATTGCTCCCATAATAACCCCAGGAACATTTTAAAGGCGATCCTTCTGCTTCTGTATCCCAAACTTTGACTGTTCCATCTGCCGACGCTGATGCCAATAGTCGAGTATTTTGACTATTTATGGGGAACAACCGTAAATCCCATATTGCATCCGTATGACCAATGTAAGAGTTCAAGTTCAACGAAAGGTCTGAGTGAGATAATAATTAGTTTTATTGAAGAGATAACTTTAGAAACTTAATTAAGAAATGGGTCGCAAAATATTTACCGACTGGTCCATAAATCTCGCGCTTTGGCGGAGGTAGATTCCATACTCTAATCGTAGAATCCATGCTTGCAGAGTAACATCTGCGCTGTTCCGACCCAAGGACAACAGAATTTACAGCTGCAGTATGACCGCGGTATGTCATTAATGGTTCAATATCAGGAACTGCTGCGGGTCTGTGATTGAAGGAATTTAAATGTTTTGAAAAAAATTTTTCTTTTTGAAAAGAAAGAACGGTTAAATGATTACATACTTCTGAGAGGCGGGTCCCTTCAAATCCCAAAGTTTTATGGTGCCATCTTCTGATCCCGAAGCAAATAAAAGTTCTGACTGATGCCATGAAAGAGATCGCACAGAATCAAGATGGCTAATAATAATATATATATATATATGAAATTCCAAATCTCGATGATTCTCATAATTATAAGACAATATTAACCTTCTCAAAGTGAATCTCAGCCTCCACATTTTACGATCTGTCCCGTTTTCATGAAATTTATCGGTCTAAATGTAATAACGCATAATAAATACATTTTGTATAAGATGACTATGAAAAGCAAGATGAACAATACCTCAGGTTTTTGTGTACTTTCATCCTCTTCAACAGATAAGCTAAGTTCATCCAATAAAGGATCAGAGGTATTCGCCGCTAAAGTGACGAAGAAAAAAAAATTATCTCAATAAGGTATATAACACATTACTCATTAAAATCATATGGGAATGTGTACAAACACAAGATTTCATGACTCTTTCGACCTTTCGCATTCTTCATCAATTTTATCACTTTTTCATCTGATAAATTAAATTTTTTCTGGACATCCTTCGTCTAAATGTATAAAACTTACGATCAGTAATGGTTAAAGTGGTGCCATGTTACTTCCACCGTTCACATACCAATTGTTCTTCCTCTTCTTTCAACTCGTCCGCATTTTTCGAATGTGCTAATTTACTTTTGTTCTTAGTCTTATTTGCTATTTTCCATTCTCCATCATATTTGAATTTATTATTAGTGGAAGAACCATCATTTCTATCATGATCACGACCATTTTCCGAGTTTGTATTTTTCATAGATTCGTCAGTTCCATTACCAACAGTCATGCCTTCTCTAGAAGCGATTTCTAAAATATAATTCTTTTCGAAGTCTGATTCAATAGGTGAAGATTGTTCATCACCAGTAAATCCAGTGTCTCTCTTCACCAATTCTCCCCCCGACCTAGGGAAGAAAGGGGCCTCCTCCTGTTCCGAAAAAACAACGTCTAAGTCTTCACCAGAAGACATGGGATTTTCCAATGGTGGGCTTGAATTCCTTGATGTTATTAGCGGAGTTGAAGGTGCAGGCCTGGAAGGTCTTATTACGGCATTTCCTGGTTTTTTCAATGGCACACCATTATAGGTATTGGCATTTAATCCAATATATACTGCACTATTTCTATTATTCGACTTCCGTGTTGCAGCATTATTTCCATCCAAACCGGTTGGATGATTTGAAAGTCGATTTACTATAGGCGTATTACTTGTCGCAGCGTTTGTAAGGTAGTCAATTTCTTGCAAACACCTGAAATTTAAATTATTTAAGCAATCATGGATCAAGAGGTAAAATGTACTAACGAATAAAGCTAATAAATCGATCCATACGCTTTAAGTATTTCACGACTTTTTATCCTATATTTCGGATCTCGACTTGACGTAATATTTTTGTGTTGCAAGACTGGTTGCTCTGAAGATTGCACAGATTCTATTTGCGCTCCAGCTGGTGATCATATAATAAATCAAAAGAAGACATTCATTTTAATTTATGAATGCAAGTGGTAAGGTTTCAAAAGATCCAAATAAGAAAACTTACAAAAATTTGCAAATTCGCAACTTACGTCCTTCTTCATTTGCAGGCGTTGTTACAGAGGATGATGATTCCTTTGTCAATGATGGATTGGGAGCTACACCAGCCAAATATTTGCTCCTATTAATTGAGCATAAGAATTTATCGTGATACGTTGTATGAATTGATGTGCAATTCGTTAGCCCACCTCTCCTTCCTCAGAGCAAACTCTAACATTTTTATTCGCTTCATTAAATCCACTTTCATTTTTTCAATTCCACGACGTTCTCCTTCCAATAGTGCTATACGCGCCTTTATGATGATAATTAATTGCGTTAAATGATATGGCAACCTGCTCATGAGTTTCACCAAATTTAAAAAAGTCTCACAAACCCACCTTCATTTCAGCGCGTTCAATTTCCCATTCATTCCTATCTCGCTCGAAACGTCTCCATTCCGACTGAAGAAAGTGAATTACTCCTGGTAAAGTATACTCCGGAATTTGAGGTTGTTGTGCTTGCTGTTGGCCGTAAGTTTGCGCCATTGCAACAAAATCTTATTGTCGTTGATTAATAAATATTTTACCAAAGTCGTGAATGCTGCAATAAATTGTATCGGGCTTTTTGAAGTAATTGGGATTTGACCGTTAAGGGAAAAAAGCATCACTTATATGAAAAGTACCAAAACATCGAAGGAGGAAGATAAGGTCTTCGGGATCTTCAACAGGTAAAGGGATTAAGAGTGAACGGACAACCAAGTGTACCTCTCTGATGATAGATGCCGAGAGTTGTTTATATGACGATAAAATTGTCTTACTGAGCTAGTGGTCATACAACAGCGTTGTAGATCTGATATTGATTTGTTAAGACTGATAAATATGTATTGACCCCACATGCATAGGTCCTATTTATTTCATTCTTTTGTTTTATTGTAATAAAACAGATCGTACGTATCCAAAATGAATTCTCAGGTATGCTCGCCTAACATGTTTTTATAGAGACCAAATGGATCAACTTGAGGTATTCCCTTAACGATCAACTTTCATTGTTGATTCTTATTCACTCAGGTTGCAAACTTGGTGCTCGTTCTCGTAATCATACAAGTATCCCGTAAATTGGATCTCGAAAATCCCGATGTTATTACATATGTCCGTATTGGTTATGTCACAGTGCAAGCTTTGACATTATCACTTTGTTATTTCATTGCTACAAGAATAAAGAAAATAAATGGTATGCAACCTGAATCAATACACTGTAATACTCTAAAATATACAACTAATTCGATATTTCGTATATCCGAACAGACACCACTGAAATTAAGTACGTTGAACCAGCAAAACCTTTTACAAATGAATCGCCCCAAGTTGTGGAAACAACAGTTCGAGATTATGATTTGGGAAAAACCATGGACCTTTTCAAACAGACGTGCACGAGTGTTTTGATTATGTTGATCATACATCTGTACTTTGGTTTCACTCAACCCCTTTTCATCCAGTCCATTTTACCGCTAAAAAGTGTTTATCAGAACCAAATGGTTCAAATTCACTTGCTCGGAAAAAAAGCAGAAGGCGAATTGAATAGGCCATTCAAGAACCCTTCGCCTTTTGGTTGGTTACTTGAAGCGCAGCAGCCTCAAACGGATAAGGCCTCCATCAAAAAGGCTTCAAAAGCTTCAAAATCAAAGGATGATTAAACTGGTATTAATTACATCTA